ACAGGTTGAGCCAATTACTTGTAACCTAAGAAAGATTTCCAAAAACAAAACAAAAAAAAAACCTATGGAGAGTGAACACACAGGGCCTTAAGAAAGATGTGAGCGAATTAAATACTGATGTTTTATTGTAAAACCTTGCAGTAAATCATATAAAAATAATGCAATTTATTCATGTAGAAAATATAACTAGAATACAACAGGCCATATAGGATATGAAATGCGCATTTGAAACTTTTCACTGGAATTTTGTAAAACTGTCCAACAAAATGTGCCTCATAGTGGATCACTGCTTTTATAGGTAGTTTGGGTCTCAACATCACACAAGTACATGGGAGACAAGCAAACTACAAGTGCTATCACAAAAATGAATAAATATATAAATAGTAAAGCATTATAGCATAGTATATGTTCAGCTTTCACATGAGCGATCCCCAGTATGTTTTGCAAACATTTGAAATAAGACATCAAATATAGAAAACAAGTACAAAAAGAGTCACAAGATTAAAATATGAAAAGGCAGATTGCTGTGGGACATTAAAGTACAATGTTAAAAAAAAAAGTTTTGGAAAAATAGTTTAGTTTTGTTAGAACAAAAGAAAAGTGAACATTTTTGGTCTAATTCACCATATCAGAATCACACAAATATTAGCTGAAACTACAACCTCTTATTACAAAAATCACTGATATAGACTTTTTAACCAATTATCATAAAAAGAACAAATCTCACTATAAAGACCAAAATAAGACAAATGTATTGTATACACAACTAGACAATAGTGTTGACAGTTGGTCAGGAATTTCACCCAAAGCTGTCCATGCTCTTTCATTTGCCTATGGCTTTTGTAAAGTAACACAATAAGCTACAACAAGCAATGTAAGAGAACTCAAGTATGACTATAATAAATTTGTTCAATTCAAATAGTAACATTACTTAAAATTCAGAATTATTCTCATCAAATATTCTAGTTAGTAAACTGTATATTTGTAATCAACACCTACATGGGCCAAGACACAATTTAAACAACAATTAGCACAAGTAAAAAAAAAAAATATATATATATACGTGTGTGTATATATATATATATATATATATATATATATATATATATAGTGCTGGGCGGTATACCGGTTCATACCGAATACCGGTGTTTATTTTTATGATATGA